ATTTCGTACACTTTCTTAATCTTAGCTACAATGTCAACCCATGTGTCGCTGTTTTTTATTGTTAAATTTACAGATGGCCATTCGTCTTCGCGTTCGCCGTCTGCGCCTTGAGCTTCGCCACCTTCGCCTTCCTCTCCCGCTCCGCCGCCGCCTCCCGGTCCTCGCGGCGGTCCGCCAGGGGATCGTCGCCGCCGTCGTCAGCCACGATCATGGCCGTGACGGCCTCGCCCGCCATATCGTTCTTGGCCTCTGTCGATCGCTCGTCCCAAAAGTCGCGAAAAGTCGCCAAAAGCGGCGGCGAGTCGCAATCACCCGCCCGCCGTCCCGGCGGTCCCGCAGCTCGCGCGAATCTCCCTCTTAACCCACACTTAACATCTATATAAGGGATCCCTACCCGAGGTTACGATTACGATTAACTTTCTTAAACTTTCTCGATAGAGTTGCCGAAGGCACTTGAGCACTTGAGCACTGGATAGGGTCGATTCCGCATGGAACGGGACCCCTCGATCGTCTCGCCCACCCTCACTCACTGGTGTGTTCATTGGGAGGGGGTCATAACAAACACGGTACAGGATCGAGGTGCACGCTGCAGAGAAGCAGTGTCGTCCCCCCTCTCCCCGACGGCGATGGCGGTGTGACCGATCGAGCTACAAGAGGAACTTGTTCAGCAGGATCCGGAGTTGGTCAGATGCACTACCTCACTGGGCATGAGACCACCGTACGACGCATCCATCACCGTCTCGGATTTGTGTGCGGGAAGTGTGGAGTCGAACCACTCCGGGAACCGGGATGGGGCAAGCCCATCGATTTGAGTTGTGCTTTCCTCGCCTGCAAGAGACAGTGGGGGGGTGCAGTCTTCGCTCTTGGCATGGTCGGGGCGGGGTGGGGGGAAGCGGGTTTCAGCCGGTCGAGGAACATAGACATAGCAACTTGTAGACGTACTACGCACACAAAAAGCCGGGACGTTACCCGCGTCCCCGGCCGCACGCACCAGGACCATTGCAGGCATCACTATTCGGACCCGGGCAGTCTTCGTGCCGCACGTCTATGATCGCGTGACGGTTGTTGTCTGCGTCTCCGGGTTCGCTTCCCCCCCCCCGGGCACGACCCTGCAATGAGCGAGGACTGCTCCTCCGCACTGTCTCTTGCAGGAGAGGAAAGCTCCCCTGAAATCGATGGTTGGATGTAAACATAT